CAGTGTCGGCCATGTGGAGGAGTCATGGCCATTGCTTGACCAATTTGCTCTCTGTGAAAGCTTGAGAGAATGTTTTCTCTCCATGTGACTCTCCTTAGGCACACTACATTGTCATTCATTTCAACATTTCTGTGTAAAAATATGTAATTATTTATACCTATTCTTTTAAATATGTTTTCTTCACATTGTGTAGAGATTTAAAGTTTAACATATCAATACTTGAAGGAAACTACCTGTTCCATGTTATATCTAAGATGTTTGATATTCGGACAGCTAGTGAGGCTAAGCTCAACTGCTTATATTGTAGGATAATAGTACCATTAAGCTTCTCTTCTGGAGGATTAACAACTTAAGTTTACAGACCAAAAATTAGTTAAAAGGTCTGCAAGGATAGCCAATATTTTGGCCCTAGTCATTCAAGGTCAGTGAGGACTCAAGACATAAGCGAGCCTGTGCTGTAACATCCTGTACCTTAGTGGTATCCCAAATTTTCTGATTAAGGAGATTATGTGGCCACAGAGGAAAGTGATTGACGATCTAACAGTTTTCAATATTCTGTTCTTTTGCTGAATTTCTGGGATCTTTATTATCATTTGTCTGGGTGTAGCTTTATTTTTGTGATAGCTCACTGGAGTTGTATAAGCCCCATTTATCCGCATGGCAGATTTTTCCCCCATTTTTGGGAACTACTTAATTCAGAGCTGAAAACACAAGTGAAGCAGTAAGTGACTTACCCATATAGCACAACACGGTCACAAACCAAAGGAAGCACTTTTAGAATATATTATTTCTGTATGGGAATAAATCTAAAGGGAGGAAATTTGGTGTCAGTTGTCACATACATGTGGGACAGACTTGTTTTCATACATGATCCTCTCTGTCTGTAAAGGACTCTTGTCACTATGAAGTGGCAGAATGGTCTTCAGGCGATTGGTGGGGTGATCATCTCATCACAAATTTTAGCTGGAATCTTGGTGATTTTATCATTTTTTGTTTATTACTACTTATTATCCAAATATTTCAATTTCAAGCACCTGACTTTAATCAACACTTATACTATGAAATCTCACCTATCTTGATTCATTCTACCTCATTACTGAATTAGACTCAATTCTTTTTTTATAATTCTCTAGTACTTACATTGTATTTATCATTACCTTGGATCTTTATGTCTGAAAACTATGGATTTATATAATCCCTGGAGAACAACAGCGGAAAGATATATTAAACATATAATCTGGGTTACAAGATGAGACAAGGAAAAATAATAAGAAAATTTATATTTAAAAAATTAGGGGCCCTGCCCCTTAGCTCAATTCTTTAACTGGCTGCTTCAACAAAGCAGTCAGGCTCAGGTTGCTGTGGTTCGATCCCCACAACACAAGACAGCCAGTCATGCCTTGAAGGCATTCGGAGAAAAAAAAAAATTAAAGATAGAAAGGAAGCTGGGTGTGGTGGCACATTATCTGTAATCCCAGCACTTGGAAGCCTGAGACACAACGTTCACTACAAATTTGAGGCCAACTTTAGGTATATATCAAGATCCTAATTCAAAACAAAACAAAACAAAAACTCAATGGCCTCCAAAAGAATACCCAATACACTGAAAATTTTTGTACAACTGATAATAAACCATGTGTTAATAGTATAATTAAAATAAACATATTATAATCTTTGGAAAATCATTTCAATAACATTGTTTACTCATATATAACAAATAGTTTAACACACTAATTTGAAAATATCTTACACAATATACCAAAATAGTAATTTATTAACAGTTGTTTCATGTTTTGGTTTTGACAGTAGTGGATGTGAACCAAGGGCCTTCACATGAAGCTATAGTCCCACCCCAACCCCTACCTTTTTGTCTTTTTATAAATTTGAGACAAGGTCTCATTACTTCTCCATGTTGTCCAGGCTGATTCAAACCTGAGATCCTAACTCAGCCTCCTAGAGTGCTAGGATTGCTTGTATGCACCAACACATCCAATGGTATAAGCACTTTTAACACTCATACTGTACAAAGACAAGTATGCAACAGGAAATGGTGCAGTCAGTATGTGGAAAATTGGGGTCTTTCCCAACCAAGACGTCAAGAATCTCAAGTAAAACTTCAGAGTGTACTTATGAATGTAATTTTGTTTCTACTGACATCTTTCAAATTTATGTCTTCTTATTCTGCTGCTATGGTTTGTGTCTAGCTGTCCCTCCAAAGCCTCATGCAGTCATGGGGTGGGGACTTCTAGAGTGTGAGACTAATTCATGATCAAGGCTGGGATTATAGGTCTTAGTACTGCTGGGATTATAGGTATGAGTACTTCACTCAGCCTGAATGCAACTGAAAACGAGACAGACTTCCTCTGGAGCCATTGTTGCTGCTTCTGCTCCCTTCGCTCTCTTGCTCTTTGCTGCTACCATGAACTGCTGCTCTCTGCCATGTGCCGCTCTGCCTTGGAGCCAGCTGAGTATGCACTGAAACCTCCAGTAACTGTAAACGAAATAAACCTTTCCTTCCTTCATTTTGGGTGTCCGGTATTTGTCCCAGCAACGAGAGCAGAGTAACTGAGAAATGCCCAGTTGTCAAACTGACAAACTGCTCCTTCTTTTGGCATCAGCCAGAAATTCGTGTTGCATGTGGTTACCCTTATCCAAGCCCCACCCAGAACCATGTAACATTAAGCCAGTCTTCATGGGACTCCTCTAGCCACGATGGACTAACTGGGAAGTCTACTCTGCTCTCCCCCAGATAGTTATCATTCTCATACTTTAGCATTATTAGTCTCAATATGCCAATCAAGCTCTGGGTGGAGTTTCACAAGTGGAGTGGTCCTAAGTGCACATTAACAAAAAATGATCCTTGCTAGGGATGTGGCTCTGTCACAGAGTGCTTGCCTACAGTGCACATGGTCCAGGTATAATCTCTGGCACCCCCAAACACAATACAATGTTTTGGCAACAAAATAACAATTTCTAACATTATCTACATTATGCTTCCTAAAATTATTTTATATGCTTACTGTATTTTTATTTTTACTGTGTGTAGGTCTAGGCATAAACCATGGCAAAATTCATTGAGGATTATACAAAAATATAAAATCTGGGTCTGGTGAGAGCTCAGTGGATTAAGCACCTGCTTAGGCAAGTGCAGGGACCAGGGTTCAATCCCTGGCACCACATGCCACACCAGCTCTTAACCTGGGTCCACTGAGCCAGGCAACCAGTCTGAGTGTGATTGTGCACACCTATAATCGCAAAGCTGGAAAGGCTGAAAACAAAGAGAATCACTGAGTGAGCTGCAGTGAGACCTTATACCAAATATATAAATTAAAAAATATATATTTATGGGGCTGACAAGATGGCTCAGCAGTTTAAATACTATGCTTAGGCAAACCTAGGGACTGCAGTTTGAACCCCAGCAAAATATGCTGTCCCAACCCCACCCCTAAGGAGGGCTGAGTTGGCCACAAAATAAATAAAATTTGGTAAAAGTAGGATACATTCTGAATGGAAATATGCTTGCTAAATGTGAATTTATATATGTAAATGATATTTCAGCTTTGTCTTTTTGAGACAGGGTCTCACTACGCAGTTCAGGGGCTAACCTTGAGCTTAGTTTGTAGCCCAGGTTAGTCTCAAACTCTCAACAATCCTCTTGCCTTAGCCTCCTGAGTGCTGGGATTGCAGGTATATGTCACCACTGTGAGCTTTTGATTGAATTCTTGATGAAAATTTGTCAACTGTCAAGATTACCACTTTTTATTAATCTTTTGTGTTCAACAACTATTGCCATTCAATATGGGAGGCCATAATTTTCCTTATTTCTACCAATTATCAGATCCCAGTAATCAATCTTACCATACATAGCTATGTCTTGATGTCCTGCATAAGTATAGCTATTTCACTCAATTGGTAGAAAAATCCTTTCCTATGACACACAGTGGTCCTATCTAGCCCAATAAGCTTGATGACTCACAGCTCTACCTTACTTTCTACTGTCTCTTAATACTAATACACAAAACAGGAATTTATAATTTAGCACCCATATTCTTCCAGGGAACAAGGATACTCTGATGTGCAGTATAGCGTGGAGCCTAAATAAAGCCTCTGCCACACACATTTACATGGTAAAAGTTTTGTCAGTCATTGTATTTAAAAGGTTTATCTCCAGATCCAATTCTGCAAATTTTGATCTTGAGGCAAAACAAAACTTCTGCCCTACATATTTACTGATTTCTCTCTACATATATCTTATACCTAATGAGTAGTGAGCACGATTTTAAAAATTGCTATGTTCACTGCCATTTGGGCCTGGTGAATCTACAGCCATGCTTAAGAGCTCGCCTATGTTTGGTGTATTTGTAAGGTTCTCTCCAGTATTGTCTGATGAAGTAATATATGAGGCCTAAGTAAAGGCTTTATCAAACTCACTGCATCTGTTAAGGGTTTTCTCTAGAAACCTGTGGTCAGACCACCACCTAAATATCTTGGCACATTCAATACCTTTATTTTCTTCTAGTATATGGTGTGAACATCTGTTCAAAGCATTACATTTGTAAAAGCTCTTTCCAGAATGAATTCCCCGATGCTTAGTTAGGCACAAAAGCACATTAAAGGCTTTGCCACACTGATTATATTTCTAAGGCCTCTCTCTAGTATGAATTCTGATTCACAAGGTGTAAACCTGAAGACTTTGCCACACACATTGCACTATGATGGTTTATCTCTAGTGTGGATTATCTGATCTGTACTGAGACTGGAGTCCTGATTAATTACCCTGTCACATTCATTCCATCTGTGAGTTCTTTGATAAATGATGTAGACCAGTGTCTATATGGCTTGCCACATTCTATACATTTGTAAGTCTTCACTCCAGTGTGGGCTTACATTTTTTTAACCTATTAGGGTCCACAGGGTCTCACTACACAAATCAGACTCAGCAGTGATTCTCCTGTTTACAGCCACCCAACAGCTGGGATTACAGGCACATGCCACCACACCCAGTCTCAATCGCCATTTCAGCATGCCCCCGGGGTCAGGGCCAGCGTGGCACAGTGGGAATAGAACCCTCAGCTGCTGCACTTCACCTAAGCAGGCACTTTAGTTAGCTATCTGGCCAGCCCCATGGACTCTTTCATGATGCCTAAGGTACAATGGCTTAATAAAAGTCTTGCCACACTCCATACATTTGTAAGGTTTTTCTCCAGTATGAATTACTTGATGGTAAGTTAGGCTAGCATGCACACGGAAGGCTTTGCCACATTCATCACATTTGTAAGGTTTCTCCCCAGTATGAATTCTCCGATGACTTGATAGGTGGGAATTTTGACTAAAGACTTTGTCACACAGATCACATTTATATGGTTTCTTTCCAGTATGGATTATCTGGTGTTTATTGAGTTGGGAACCCTGGATAAAGGCTTTGCCACACTTATCGCATTTGTGTGGTTTCTCCCCAGCATGAATTCTTAGGTGAATCCTGATGTCAGACCATTGCCTAAAGGCTTTGCCACACTCACTACATTTGTAAGGTCTCTCTCCAGTATGAATACTCCGATGGCTTGAAAGATGGGAATTCTGACTAAAGACTTTATCACACAGATCACATTTATACGGTCTCTCCCCAGTGTGGATTAGCTGGTGTTTACTGAGATGGGAACCTTGAGTAAAGGCTTTGCCACACTCAGTGCATTTGTAAGGTTTCTCTCCAGCATGAATTCTTAGGTGAATTCTGATTTCAGACCAATGCCTAAAGGCTTTGCCACATTCATTACACTTGTAAGGTTTCTCTCCAGTATGAATTCTCCGGTGGCTTGAAAGATGACAATTTTGACTAAAAACTTTATCACACAGATCACATTGATATGGTTTCTTTCCAGTGTGGATTATCTGGTGTTTACTGAGATGGGAAACTTGAGTAAAGGCTTTGCCACATTTGTCACATTTGTATGGTTTCTCTCCAGCATGAATTCTTTGGTGAATCCTAATGTCAGACCACTGCCTAAAGGCTTTTCCACATTCATTATATCGGAATGGCTTTTCTCCAGAATGAATACTCACATGATGCTTAAGGTTTGAACGACTGATAAAAGCCTTTCCACAGTCATGACATTTGTAAGGTTTCTCTCCAGCATGAATCATCAGATGGTTAGTCAGGCTGGAGCGTATAAAAAAGGCTCTTCCACACTCATAACATTTATGTGATTTCTCTCCAAAATGGGTTCTTTGATGATCCACTAAACTTGAATTTTGGATAAATGCTTTACCACATTCATTACATTTGTGTGGTTTCTCTCCAGTATGAGTTCTGTGATGTTTTACAAGTTGTGACTTTTGGAAAAATGCCTTGCCACACTCACATTTGTAAGGTTTTTCGCCAGTATGGGTCACCTGATGGTTCATTAGGCTTGCACGCACCCTAAAAGCTTTGCCACACTCATTACATTTATAAGGCTTCTCTCCAGTATGAACTCTCTGGTGATTTTCAAGGTGTGAATGTTGACTGAAGACCTTGGGACACCGATTGCATGTGTATGGTTTCTCTCCAGTATGGATCCTACCATGACTTGCTAAGTTTGACTTCTGACTGAAGACCTTGCCACATACCTCACACTTATATGGCTTCTCTCTTGTATGGATCATTAGATGTCTGGTGAGATGAGAGCCCTGATTAAAGGCCTTGCCACACTCACTACATTTGTAAGGTTTTTCTCTGTGAGCTTCCTGGTCTTGTGTGAGTAACAAAGGTTGGAGAGGATTATTCTCATGTATCTCTGCAACATGAAAATTGACTCTTGGAGAAACTGCTGGAAGTGGTGAGAATGAGGAACCAGTAACACTAGATTCCTCAAGCTGACTACATTCATAAATCTGACTTTCACTGTGAAGTCTCTCAATCTCAGCTAGCTGTGACCCACAGCTTAATTCAAGCTGACTTTCAACAGATGTGTTTTCTGCAGGTCTTCTACATTGATGTCTTTTGCAAGTGAATTCATTTCTTTGCATTACAGGTACTTTTTGGTAATTTCTTTCATCATTTCTCACCTGACATTGAATATCATGCATTTTTTCCCAGACTTCCCAGACATAAAAGTCTTCGATGTAATGAATTTCATGTTTTTCCAGTATCTTTCTTTGGGATATTTCTCCTGTGCTATTCTTGTCTGTAGGTGGTAATTCCTGGATCACATGTACAGGACAGAGATCTATAAGGTAAACAGAACATAGACTTCCTATTAATGAGTGTCTTTTTTTTTTTTTTTTTTGAGGTGTTGTTTGTTGAACCTAAGGGTTCATGCATGCTAGGCAAGCACTCTACTACTGAACTATATTCCTAGCACTTAATTAGTATAAATTCTATAAATAGTATACATTCTTTCCTTAGTACTCCAGAATTCATACCATTCTCATATGTAAAATATATATTTGATCTTATTTTTTTTTTGGGGGGGGAGGAAGGGTCTATAGGGCATTCAGGGTCTCACTACTAGATTGGATTCATAGTGATTCTCCTGTTTACAGCCTCCCAAGTGCTGGCATTACAGGTGCGTGCCACCATGCGAAGTGTCAATCACCGTCTCAGTGCACCCTGGGGGCAGAGCCGGCACAGCAGGCATGGGGATCGAACCACTGTCCCCTGCACCTGCTTGCAGGAGCTTTAATCTGCTAAGCTATTTGGCCAGCCCTATTTGTTTGACCTTGAGTCCAATGATCTCCAAAGTCTTAGTTTTTCCAGCATAAACTCTAAAACCTGAAGCCCGAAGACTCATCTAATTCAGGCCGGGGTGAGACTGAAAGTATAATTTATCCAAAGGAAAACTCTTCTCTAGGTGAAAAACTTTGAAATAAGTCACATGGTTCCAGAACACAGTACACTGTCACTCAGTGATGAGGACACACTGTGAGATGATTTCAACACTGCAAATGTCGCAGAGTATTCCTTTATACAACCTACAGTAACCTGTTATGGCTTCCTACTCATTGGGCTATCTGGCACATACTGTTAGGTCTAGGCAACATGACTGTGTCAGCTCTGTGGCCAAAGAACCGAGCCCTGGACAGAATGAAGAACAGGAGCAAGCCAGGAAAGCAGCTCAGCGGTACAGTGCCTGTCCGGCAAGTGCATGGCCCTAAGTTTGGTTCCCAACAACAACAGTTTGAAAAAAAAGACCACAAAAAAAAAAAAAAAAACCCTTTAAAAGAGAAGAACAGAAGTGTCTGAAAGGAAAGCGATCCCTCCCTGCACAGCACAGTCAAGGAACCAGAGTTGACAAGAGCCAGGATCAGTGCTGCACGTCATGCCAGAGACTTGCCTTGATCTGTGAGCTGCCCAAAAGATACATATTTGTAGGTCTGAAGAATGGAGTGATGATGGGAAGAAAATTTTCTCTCTTCTTTTTCACGAGCTCCAAGGAAATAAACTTTTGTTTTCACAAAAACATGCTTCAACTTAGGGAGAGTTTTCCAAACACTACGTAATGATACACTTCCTGTTTGCCTATCCGGGTGCTTACCTGTGCTCATGCCTTTGACATATTCCCACCCACTTGGTGTTTTTGCTATTTTCATTTCATTCTCCACAGTCCAAGGCTCTTTCCCATGCTCCAACATACAGATAACATTCAGATTAGGAAGACAGATTCCTGCTCATAAAAGAAAAGAATGTCTTGTGACTTTTCTAGAACATAATTCTAGTTCTTTGTTTAGGTGGGGGCAGTGGACATTATAGATGACTTGAAAGAAATATTTCACACATTCGGCTACTGGCTGCCTCCTTTTGAATGCTTAGGGTATATTGTAATATGCATCTAGTTCTCTCCTAAGATCTACTGAATCACAAGCAGACATGTAAAAAAAAAAAAAAAAAAAAACAAACTAGACATTTTACAAGTCTGCTATAAGTCAGCACTGATGGTACATGCTGTAATTTGAGCATTTGAGATGCTGAAGCAGGAGGCTCAGGACTTTGAGGACACCCTGGCTTACACAGTGACTGTAAGGTGCAAGGCTAGCCTGAGCTACATAGTGAGACCATCCTTTTTTTTTTTATACCAGGGAATGAACTCATGACCTTGTGCTTGCCAGGCAGGCGCTTATACCACCGTACTATCTCCCTAGTGCAGTGAGATTCTATCTTAAAAAAACAAAAGGACAAAAAAACCTAAAAGTCTAATGAAACAAAAATGTCTGCTGTAGGCTATGTGCTTACTTTATCTCTGAATTTATCAATGACACACTGAGCAGTTCAGAGCCTCCCTAGACACACATAAGGAAAATGCAGTCACAGGGCAGACCCCAACTTCTGCAAGGAAGTTCTCCTCACCCAGTGAGACCAGATTCCTGTAGTTCTCCATTATCACCTCCTGGCACAGAGCCCTCTGAGTAAGGTCCAGGGATTCCCACTCCTCCTGGGAGAATTCTACAGCTACATCCCTAAAGGTCACCTGAACCTGAAACAACAACAAAAAATATCATACTTTGACAAGGGCAGGCAGGGAGAATTATCATCTTCAACTAAAATGACTACAAAAGAGTGGTCCAAAGATTAATGTGTTTTAATTGATTCATGTAAAAGTACATTTAAGCAAATTATGTCTCCAATTTTATTATACTTGTCTACAAGAGGCTGTGGTATTCTCTAAATCACTGAGCTCTCCTTTTTGTGGAACATATAAGGAACTTATGTAGGAAAAATTAGCCACAACGCGATGTTCTACACTCATTACCTTGAATTATAACGCAATGATTTATTCAGAGATAACAGAGTCTATAGTGGTTTTAAAGCAAAAGGTCAGAATCTAGAAAATATGATGGTGGCACCAATGGCAATGATTAAAGCATCTGAATGCTTCCCATATGCTAGGAGTTACTTCAAACTTTACATATACTAATTCAGATAGCAACATAACAGCCTATGAGGGGAAGAAATGTTCCCATCTTACTGGGAGATAACCGCGTCACGGAAACAAACTCATCTCGGGGCAAACAGCTAAGAAGTAGCAGTATCGACATCTGAATGCAGGTGGCCGGGTTCAGACTTCAACCTAAACAATCAATCAGTAACACACACAACATCAAAAGTACTCTGACTGCTCCCTAAGAGACTTACAACAAGTTCAAGCCTATTGACACGGAACGGCACACATGTAGATATGTAACAAGTTAGAATCTTACTAGGATTTAATTGGCCCATGTGATAGTGCAAGGAAAATTTTAAGGTGGTGGAAACTGTGTTGAGACACCCTGTCTCAAAACAAAAAAAAAAAAAATAAATGGGCTGGCAATGTAGCTCAGTGGTACAGCACCCCTGGGTTCAATCTGCAAGGATTATGGAAAACAGAAAAAACATTAGACAGATGATGTACCTTTTATAAGTCCTGGATTTGTGTATCCCTGTATTCATGGACACACATCTGCAGTGTGATTGAAAAATACAGTGTGTGTAAATGTTTAAAACTTATTACAGTAAACAACACATGAACATCAACCTCCCTCAAAATGTTCCCTCTTATTCCAAACACACTTATCTCCCGGTTCTTGTCACTTTCTAAGGCAGTTCTGGAAGTGTTTCTTTGCTAGCGTCTTAAGTTGTGCTGCCATGGCTGCTTTGATGCCTTGAAACAATTCAAAATGCTTTCCTTCCACTATCATTCTCATTTAGGGGGAGGACAAGGAGCAACGCCACAGCTGACTTGGTGAGTAACATGTATAAGGACATACTACACTGTTCTTGCAAGCCAGCTTTTCTGCTGGACAGCACTTCAAGGCAGTATCCACTGTACTTTCTGTCATGCCTCATAAAGACGCAAAAGAAGACTTTCGGCACTGCTTCAGGAAAGCACAAGAAAAACGAAGAAACAAAATCAGAAAGGGATAAGAGCGATGCTGTCAATGTATTCCAAGTGAGAAAAAATAGTTGAGGGTGACTGACAGCAATGTGTCTTGTACCGTAACACATTTTTTAACTTAAATATTCACTATACTTTTCAGTCGCCCCTTATATGACTAAAAGAAGGCTTAACTTATAATTTTTCAAAATTTATATAGAAACATTATATGTTCAATAGAAATTATTTTAATTCCCCAATTTTGTCTTTTCCCAGGCTAACGACAGGCATGAGGTGGTCTCCCATGCTGCAGCAGCAACAAACTGGATCTCCCAGTCAGCAAAGCATAAAAATTTAACAAAGAAACAAAAATAAGCTGAACAAATAAAAAACATGAAGAGAGAGGAAAGGAGAGGAAAGGACTCACTGGATACCACCAAAAAAAACTGCCCACCAACAATACTATGTCTAACAAAACTGTCCTTCGAGACCTGTCTTGTCCTTCATGTTGAAGCAAAAGGACAATGAACAGCAACAAAAATCCATTTAAAAATAGACAACTCCAAAATATAAATGATGAACATCTACAGATCCTGCACTACTTAATATTAAATGTACAAATCACTTTCACACCTGATAAAGAATTTCAAAAAGTGTGAAGTTAATTATAAGTCTAATTAAAGCACACATAATACAAAGTGGTCATTTTTTGTGTCACTGGTTACAGAGGGAAAAAGTGAAGGGGTAGATTTTCTATATGTGGTCACTTTAACCTGTCACCTACTTCAAACACACTGTTATAATCTTAAGGTGTTTTAGGTCACTGGACTTAGAAACACACAAAAAGAATCTACAGAATATAGACAAAAGGAACTGAGAAAGTAATCAAAACACATTGTTACAAAAAAAAAAAAAAAAAAAAGTGAGCTGGGTTACAGACATAGATCAGTGGTAGAACACTTGCCTAGCAGGTACAAAGCCCTTGGGTGCAGTCCCCAGAGCAAGTAGATAATTAATTAACTAAGGAGGACAGCAAGGGAATTTGGGAAGGAAAAACAAAGACAGTCACAGCATAATTAGCAAAGTATCAACAGTAAGTTCTTCCCAATTAGTACTTCTTTAAACATAAATGGAGCGCCAGGAGTGGTGGTGCATACCTGTAATCCCAGCACTTGGGAAGCTAAGGAGAGAGGATCTCCATGGGCTGGAGACCAGGCTTGGCTACACAGTGAATCCGAGTCCATTCCAAAGACCTTCCTTTTTTTCAAAAGAAAAAAAAAAAAAAAACAAAACACACACACACACGCATATATATATACACACACATTGTTGAATGCATATAAAAAATGAGACAACTGTATGTTGAGTACAAGAGACTCATTTTAGAGCTAAAGAAACCAATAGGGTAAAATAAAAGGGTAGAAAATGATAGTCCTTGCAAATGGAAACTTAAAAGAGCAGGAATAGATTCAAAGTCACAAGCTGTCATAGGATACAAAGGATATTATATAATAATAAAACTGTCACCAGGAAGACATAAGAAACTTTTGTTTTTTTCTTTTTTTTTTTTTTGGTACTAGGAATTGAACCAATGGCCCCTTCCATACTAGAAAAAAACGGCTGCATAAGTCCATCCCCAGCCCTTTCAATTTTACTGTGAGACAGGATCATGGACAGTTGCCCAGGCTGGCTTCATTGCTGTCATGTTCCTGCCTTGACCTCTTGTCTAGATGGGATGACAGCATACGCCATCATGCTTGGCCAATAGATTTTCCAGTTTTGTTTTTGCTATTTATTCTATTTTGCTTGGAGAAGATATTCTGTAAGACTTCAGTTTTAAAATTTGTCAAGATTTGTCTCCAAGGCCAGAACCTAACCTCAAAGAAAAAAAAAAACTGGGACAGGGATGCAGTTCCGTGGCAGAACACTTGCCTCACGGGAGATGCCTCAGTTCAAGCAAAAACCAAAACAACTCACTCTTAAAAATACCCCATGTCAAAGAAAAAAAACACATTATTCAAGAACTATCTGGAGACAAACTAAAATACAATATGCCAAAACTTACGAGAGACACAGTGAATGAAGTAGTAAAACTAAAGCTTTTAGACTAAACATTTAAAAAGAAAGATCATATATATATATATATATATATATATATATATATATATATATATACCTAAACACTGTATGGTACCCACAACTACATAAAATTTTTATGATCTTTTTCGTAAAACTAATGTGCTTGTTTTTTTAAAAAAAAAAACTTTTAAAAAGACCATGTCGACAATCTGATTTTTAATTTCAAGAATGTAGAAACACTAAATGCAAAGTTAGGAGAAGGAGAGAAACAATAGGTTAGAGCAAAGGTAAGTGAAGTAGAAAACTGAATAATAATAGAAAAATCAAAATAACCAAGGGTTGCATTTTGGAAATGATCAATATAGCTGACGAACCCTTACATAGACTAGTTGAGAAAGACTTAATTCAAATTAGGAAAGAAAGCACATTATAATTGATGTCTCAAAAACAGACACTCCTATATACAACTGTATACCAACAAACTTTTACCTAGAAGAAATGAGTACATTCTTAGCAATAGAAAACCTACCTACACCTATACATAAAGAAAAATAATTCATAAACCAGGCCTAGAAGGCTTGTTCCAAGGCCCCCAGAGATGCCTGAAGCTGTAAGCAGTACCAAAACTTCTGACAGTTTCCTGGGACCACGGCCAGCAAAGCCTTTTCTCATGGTCAGTGTCACTGGGTCATCCTCAGTGGAGCCCAGAGGGGTGAGCGAAAGCAAATTTATGAGGCAGGAACAACCAAGCAGCACAAGATTGACTTTACCTGAGCAAAAGCCATTAGAGACTTCTTTTCCTTCACTTCTGAACCTCTGCCTCGGGCAATGTAAGTCTTTGGCAGTCAATCTGGAATGGTGAAAAGAAGTTACATAAGGCTCAGGATTCTACAGACCCACTTCCAGAGCTACAGGGCCGGAAAGACCTAACCGTGTACAATGGTGATACTCCACTATCACGTACCTGGAGGGAAAAATCTATAGCTGAGTTTCCAGAACTCACTTCCTTCTAAAGAAGCCCATGTGTAAACCACAGCATTGGGATCTGAGCTGAACTCAGGCTTCAAGTCACAGACTCAGCCCTGGCCAGGATGGAGGCAGAACGTAGCCTCTCTCACCCACCAATGGCTCCCAGACGGACCTCAGCCTTCAGAAATGGAGGGCACACTGCCTGGGCACCCAAAGGTGAGTGCAGACTAGAATCACCTCGGGCAGCAAACAGTACCGAAGGTGGACCCCAATGCTGCTTTATGGATGACAATCTCCAGTATGTGGGCAGTTAAGATGCACTTATAAAATGCTTCAGATCTATAACGGGAAGCTAAGGTTTAGCACTACTTAGGGGAGAGGGTGAAATTTAAAAAAAAATAAAATATCACATATATACTGATTATCTTATTCAAAATGCTTGGGACCAAAAGTTTTCACACTGCGCACCTTTTCTGGATTTCACAATTTTGGCATCTACATAACGAGATATCTCTAAGCAGGAAATTCACTTCTAGTTCAAGTAAACGTTATAAAAATAGCCTGAAGGTAATTTCATCCATTTTTGTCTACATCGCATGAGCTGAGGGGCTAGAGATCAATTTACTAATCTATCATGCCTTTGCGACCGAACCTTCACACAAACCTCTACCTACAGAGCTTGAGTTTCTTCCTAGGCAAAGAGCACCTCCAACTGATAGGAAAGTACTGCATCAAACTGTAGAGGACAGAAGGTCCCCCACTAAGATCCATCCCTGTCTGCACCTTACATATCTCATCATCTAGCTGTTCATCTGTGTCCTTTATCAGAGTCTTAATAATACAATCAACTGGTAAATACCAGTGTTCCATTTCTGCGAAAGGTCCTTGCAAATTCATTAAATCTGAGGAGGAAGTGATCAGCCAAAGGTCAGAAGCACAGACGAAAACCTACTACCTGTGATTGACACCTGATGCGCGCAGCAGTCTTCCAGGATGCAGTCCGTAATCTGTGGCATCCCCAGCTTTAATTTCAGGTACATACATGAATCACATTACAGGAGCCCAAGTGGTGGCACTGGAGAAGCGCTTGGTGCATAGCGGGGAGAGCCCATTCATCTGGCATCAGAAATGTTCGGTGTTATAATAGAAAAGCTTTTTTCCTAGTTAATTCTGGACGGTACAACCTCCTACAGTAAAAGTGGAAGGTTCAGGAAAAAAAAAAAAACACGCAGAGCAGGCTGTGGGCAGAAGGGAGAGTGAGGATGTGGCTGGAATCTACTGAGAGTGCGGTATGTCAAATCTCAGATCTCTGTGGAGAGGGTGACAGTAGTACAAGGAATTAAGGAAGCGAAGGCACGGCCCCTCACAGCAGAGGTGCCAGGGTTCTAGGCAGAAGGGCAGCCCAAATGACAACCCTGAGACAGAAAAAAGTTTGGTCCTAGGGAAAAGAAGAGCGGTCCATGTGGCTGGAACAGCGCAGCGAGTGAGAACACGGACAGAGATGTGAACCAAGACCCAGGAAGCAGCACAGGCAGGGCGGAGGCTTCTAACATTAGCTACCCACCCTTGAAAAGAATTGGGAAACTACATGTCCCCTCAGCTGTTTAAAGCAGACATCTAATCTTCTCTTTAACTTAAAAGGACTGGGAGTATGGCTCACTGGGAGAACACTGACGTGACATCCTGCAGGGAAATTTAAAAAAATTAAAACTCCTACAAATAACAAAATATATTTTAAGGACAATCCCAGAGTGTCAGCCTGGCCTGACATGTGGAGGCTTATAGGAGGGATATGCGTAGGAAAACTCGACCACTTTCCGAGTTAGCTACCATCATTTTGAGAGGCTGAGACCCGAGAATCACAAGTTCGAACCTCACCTGAGCAACTCCACAGACTCTGTTAAAATGTTCTTTTAAATACATTTTAAAATACTGTACAGTGCCAAGGGCCTGTGTCCAATCCGTAATCTCACAGAAAATCAAAATCAAATCACTTTGGGAGACCTGAAGGGGTCGAGGCTGGTTAGAAGTCCCAGCACAGATGCCCAGGACAAAACTGGATTGTAGGTTCCGGGAGCTCAAGGGAGAGAGGCCTGGACGGAGTGGCAAACGGAGAAACAGAGGGAGGCAAGGGGCCTGCCCAGAGAGCAGCACATTTCCGCGTGGTGCAATAAGGGACACAAGCACCCCGAAGTCAAGGGACAGGTCCAAGTCAGGTCACTGCGCGGGGTGTGGGGGTGGGGGGTGTAGGGGTAGGGGGATGGGGGGATGGGGGGTGAGAGAGGCCTCCGCCGCCCGGGCGGAACCCGCCAGGAGCGCCTCGGGTGGAAGGGGCGGGGCAAGAACCCGAAGATCCACAGCAGGGGACCCCGAAGAGAAACAAACCCACGCTGAGCGCCTCAGCCTTCCTCGCGCAGGAGCAGCGGGTCCGCCGGGAACTGCGGTGCGGAGGGCAAGGCGGGGCGGGCTGCAGCGAGGCCCGCGGAGGGGTGGGCGGGGCGGGATTACGAGGCGGGTGAGGGGTCTGGCGACGCCGCCCGGGAAGCAGCGGGCGGTGGGAGGCGGGAGGGGCGAGGGGGAGGAGGCGGAAAAGGCAGGAAACAGGGCGGTGGGCGGGACAAGGGGCGGGGCATAGAAGAGCAGGGGCGGGGCCGCAGGAAGGGGGCGGGGCTTGGGCTGCAGGCCGGTACTTTCAGCCGCTTCTTTTGGACAGCTCAAATGTTGGGTCATGACTTGGGGGGTTTCTTTGCTATTGCTTTTTCCAATTATTTGTGGTGGTAGTGGAGATTGAACCTTACACACGTTTGCAAGCACTCTACCACAGAATTACATCCCCAGTCCCGTTGTCTTTAATTACTCAGCCACCCTTTGTCATTGGATTTGGAGTCTAATCCATTTGCATAGACATTGATAGGTACAGCACTACTCTCATTCTGTTCATTGCTTACTTTCTAGAAACATATACACATGTGGCACCAGTGACAAATATGCCAGTCCTTTTTATTTTTTGAGACAAATTCTCCTTTAAACTGTGCAGGATATCTTTCAACTAGTGATCTTCCTCCTGCACTCTCTGCAGTAACTGGTGTCATAATCTAAATGGAGAAAAACTGAAAACATTTACTCTCTCCCTCCCTCCCTCCTTTTCTCTCTTTTGCATTTTAGGGAAGAGTCTACAGCGTGTTCAGGGTCTCACTAGTAGATCAGACTCATAGTGATCCACCTGCTTAAAGTCTCCCAAGAACTGGGATTACAGGTGAATGTGCGCCACCATGCCCAGTCTCGGTCTCAGCGTGCCCTGGGGGCGGGGCTGGCACAGCAGGCCCAGGGATCAAACCCAGCCCCTGTGCCTGCTTGCAGGTGCTTTAACCCGCTGAGCTATTTGGCTGGCCCAACTATCACCACATCTATTCAGTGTAGCTCTGGAATCATAAGCTAGAGCCATTAGACAAGAGAGAGAAATGCAATGAAGAAGAATAGGTAAAGAAGAAGGTAAACTATCATTATTTGCAGGTAACATGATAGTCTACTTGTAAGAGCCAAAAAACTCCACCAAGAAGCTCCTAGAATTAATCAACAAACTCAGTATCATAGCAGATACAAAGTCAACACCCAAAAATCAATAGCATCCCTCTATACAGGCAACAAACTCACTGAGAGAGAAATTAGAGAAAAAATTCCTTTCACAATAACATCCAAAAAACTGAGATATTTAGGAATTAATCTAACAAGGGAAGTAAAAGCTCTATACAATGAAAATTACAAACCTCAAAGAGATTGAAGAGCATTTCAGAAAATGGAAAGACATTCCTTGCTCCTGGATAGGAAGAACCAATGCTGTGAAAATGGCCATGCTCCCAAAATTGTTACATAGATTGAGAGCAATCTCTATGAAAATACCATCAACATACCTCACAGATCTAGAGAAAACAACCTTAAAATTTATTCAGAACAACAAAAGACCTAGAACTGTAAAGGCTATCTTAGAAACAAAGGCAAGACAGGAGGGATTACAATCCCTGACTTGAAATTATACTACAAAGATACTGTGATAAAATCATCCTGATAATGGCAAAAAAAAAAGTAGACCTGAGGATCAAGGGAACAGATTAGGAGATGCAACACAATGACAAACACACATAGCCATCTTTGACAAAGGGGCCAAACATGCTCACTGGAAGAAAGATAGTCTCTTTAACAAATGGTGCTGGAAAAACTGGCTCTCTACATGCTGGAAACTAAACCTAGATCTGGGTCTATTGCCATGCAGTAAACTAAAGTAAAAATCAGTTAAATATCTAAACATTAAACCGTAAACACTAAATCTCCTGGAAAAGAAAGTAGGTGGAAATCTTGAAGACATAGGAGTAGGCAAAGAGTTCACAAACGAAAACCAAACTGCACGCGAAATACTGCAAAGAATCAACAACTGGGATCTCATCTTATGCAGAAGTTTCTTCATGTCAAAAGAAGTCACCAACAGAGTGAAAAGACAATCCACAAATTGGGAAAATATCATGACCAACTCAAACAAAGGACTTCTATCTAAATTATATAAAGAACTCAAAAAATTGAGACCCCAAAATTTAAAGACTCAATCCAAAAATGGGCATCTGAGATGAATACACACTTTTCAGATGAAGAAATATAAGTGGCAAATAAATACACGAAAATGTGTTCCACACCACTGGCCATTTGAGAAACGCAAATTAAAACAACACTGAGATATTATCTCACCCCAGAAAAAATGGCTATCATAAAGAAATCAACTAATAATAAATACTGGAGAGGATGAGGGGGAAAAGGAACCCTTCTCCACTGCTGGTGGGAATGTAGACTGGTGCAACCACTATGGAAATCAGCGTGGAGACTCCTCAAAAAACTCGGATTGAAAATCCCATTCAATCCAGCTATTCTCCTTCTGTGTATTTTCCCAAAAGAACTAAAAGCATCATACCATAGTGACATATGTGTACACATGTTCATAATAGCACAATTTGTTATAGCCAAATCTTGGAAACAAAATGTCAGTCACTTGAATAGATGAAAAAGATATGGTGTTTTCATAAAATGTAATACTACTCAGGTATAAAGACAAACTTGAAGCCTTTATAGGTAAGTAGATGCAACTAGATGCTGTACTCGTAAGTAAAATAAATCAGACCCACCTGTATAAATATTGTATTGCCACCCTAGTATAATAGCTTGAAAGAATAAATACAACCTTAAAGGTATAATACATATAGTAAAATGGAAAGAAACTGAATTTAAGGATTAAACAACAAAGAAAATATAGGGAAAAGGGAAGGAGGGAAAAACATGCAGGTATATAGACAGGATGACTGAGATGATTGTACTCATAATTTCCATCAGTTTTTTTTTGAAAATAGCAGTTAATATTTAGAATTTTTACCCTAGCTGTGTATGCTGATATTTGTTAACTGAGCAACTACATCGAGGACAGCAATGTGTAATATGGAACCCATGGTTGAATACCTCTCAACTTGGCCTTCTAAATGTGTACCATTTCTAATGTCTGATCAATTATTCTAATCTCTTTAAAGTAAAATAAAACAAAAAAGACAATGAAAAAAATTAAGATTTCTTAAAAGCAAGCTCCAATATTCAATGATTCCCCCAATCTTGCATAACTAAATCTGTTAATCTGAGCAAGAGATTTGATGATAAAAACTGCTAACAACCATTGTTAAGTGATTCCTGTTTTAAAAATCTGTAACATATATATTGTATGTTACCCCATTTCTGTCTTTTTCTATTTGTTTGTGCTTCTGTTTTTACTCTTCAAAATAAAATAAAGTAAAATTTTAAAAAATAAAATAAAGATAGTCATTGGAAATGATATAGGGTGTAGCAGGTATGGGGCAATAACAAGCTTTAAAGGGATAAACAGCTTTAAATTGGGGTATAGCTCAGTGGAAGAACACCTGCCTAGCATCAGTGGTCCCTTCTCTAGTGCCACAAAAATTTAATTAACAAAATCTAAAGCTGAGCATGGTGGCACATGCCTGTCATCCTAGCTAAAGGATGGTAGCAAATTTCTCTTGTTTCCCCTGGTACTAAGAATTGAACCCCAGGCCTTTGTACTGAGGTACACTCCCAGCCCTTTTTATTGTATTTTATTATTTCCCTAGCTTCTCCCCCCACCCGCCTCTTTTGGATTTGATTGTGATACACGGCCTTGCTAAGTTCCTCAGGCAGATGCCTGTAATCCTAGCTGACACATGGCGGCACATGCTTGAATCCTGATGAGGCTGAGGCAAGATGTTGGCAAGTTTAAGGCTTGCCTGGGCAAAATTAAAACAAACAAACCAACAAATTGTCTCATTTGTGACAGGAACAGATACCACACAGGCACCAAACATAGTCAGGACCGTTCATGGTCATTCAGAGATCTAGGTTCCTGGACAAGGTTGTTGATGTTATTATACATTTATTTGTCTGTTTATTTATTGGTGGTTCTAGGGATCAAATCTAGGAGCCTCAAGCATGCTATATAACCCTCTACCACTTAGCTACATCCTTAGTCTGGCCATTATAAGTTTCAGGTTTCCAATATTCAGTTTTCAAATGTGATACATGTGTTTATTATTTTAGAATTTGTCTCAGTTTTATTTTAACTAATTAATTAATTTCAGAATTGGCGGTTCAATCCAGGGTCGTTGCAATTAGCTACATCCCTACCCCCTTTTCATGTTTGTTTGTGTTTTAAATTTTGAGACAGAATCTCAATAAATTGCCCAGGCTGGACAGCAACTTGTTTTTTGTTTGTTTGTTTGTTTTTGTTTTTGTATTTTTAGGATAGGGTATACAGGGTCTCACTGCATAGATTGGACTCATAGTGATCCTCCTGTTTACAACCTCCCAAGGGCTGGGATTATAGGTTCACGCCACCACTGCCAGTCTCAATTGCTGCCTCAGTGCGCCCTGGGGGTGGGGCCAGCAGGGCAGGCCAGGGGATTGAACTCCTGGCCCCTGTGCCTGCCTAAGCAGGTGCTTTAATTCGCTGAGCTATTTGGCTGGCCCTAGAAAGCAACTTGCACTCCTCTTGCTTCTGCCTTGCGTGGTGCCGAAATTACAAGTGTGTATCACCATGCCTTGCTAAATTTTCTTGCTTTTATGACATGTGGAGACAATGTTGACATTTGCACCAACCTCCTTAGTTTGTAATGATCAACGTTGTAGAATCCCACTCCATCCCTTCCCTGAAAACAGTTGCATCCACACAGCCACAGGGATCCACCGCACTTCAGGAAGTTTAACACACTACTCTGGTTTACACAGGAAGGAAGAAGATAGAGAACTTCCTTATCTGCATGCCTAGTGTGGTCTAGGATTATGGAAATGTTTGTCCCGGATGATTGATAACTGACTTAGACTTCAGTTAAGCCTCACTCTTCCTACACAGTGGAACTGTGGCTCTCCCTTGTGCCTTGTATCACAAAACAAGATCTTCTAAACACCTTCTTCAGAGAGTGCTAACAGAGGACACGTTGCCTAAACTGTAGGGGCTTCCCCTACAAATAGAATAAAAGATAACTGTGTAGCTCAGTTGGAAATTTGCAAATCTTAGGGTTGGAGGATTCACCCTGTTACCATCATTTTTGAATAAAATCTCTTCTAGCATAAGTCTGAATTTGTTCTTTTTCATTGGTAAATATTTTCTCTCTTTTTCCCCCAGTGGCAAATATTTTCATTGTTAATCTGTATTCACACACAGAGTATGATTATCATACAGGTTATGATTTGTGTGTATTTGTTCCCCCAAAGGCTCAAGTAGTCACTGGGGCAAGGTTCTAGACTTTTGATTAACTCATGATCCAAGCCTGGGATTATGGGTCTGAGCATTGCTGGGATTATGGGTGTAAATGCTGCTGGGATTATGAGTGTGAGTGCTACACCCAGCCTGGGGCAGATAGCTTGAATGCAACATAAGGGACACAGACTTGCTCTCTGTTGACATTGTTGTTGCTCCTCCCACTTGCGCTTGCTGTTTGGCTGTTTCCTGCTGCCATGAACTTCTGTCCTCTGCCATGTGCTGCTCTGCCTTGGAGCCAGCTGAGCATGGACTGAAACCTCCACTAACTGTGAGCTAAATAAACCTTTATTTCCTTAATTTTGTATTTTAGGTATTTTGTCCCAGAAACAAGAGTAGCTGAGACACATATGTAATACACAGTGTCTCTTTCATCACAAGTTGCAATGGATCCTCAATATTCAATATGTAGAAGTAGTTACTAGTTTGAAATATAAAATGTTGGATCTTTAGTAATGTTCAGCTCTTACGATGATATCATCTGGAAGCAAATGTAAAAATCTCTGTATGACAGGAAAATATCTTCTCTTCATTTCTTCTGAATACACGTCTCTCCATTGAAAAGTGTAGAAGCAGGGGCCGGGGAGATAGCTCAGTTGAATAAGTACTTGCCTGGCAAGTGCAAGGGCCTGAGTTCAATCCTTGATTCAAAAAAAAAAAAAAAAAAAAAAAAGATATTTGGGCAGGGGAGATAGCTCAGTGGAATAAGTGCTTGCCTGGCAAGCACAAGGTCCTGAGTTTGATCCCTTGTACCACCAAAAAAATATAAAGGGAGAAGGGGTAAAAATTCACAAATGACTCAATTAGATGAAAACCCCAAAAGCAGTAAAAAGAAAGAAAAGTGTGGAAGCAACAAAACTTCTGATACACAGACTGAATCCCTTGCTCTCAGCCGTAATCATCTCCCATCTGCTTTAAAGAAAGCTCCGTCGACTCTGCCTCTGCCCGGGTCACACAAGTCCACGCCAAGTGTGATGTGACTAGGCTCACAGCTCAGAGATGAAGCCATGCCCAATGTACTGAGCTTGGTCCCCAGCATCACTACAAAGAAATAAGGCAGAAAAGAAGAAAGGGAAGGGGATGAAGAGACAAAGAAGGATAAAAGAGAGAAAGGAGGGGAAAAAATCATGCTGAGATAGTTTCTTGTACTCAACTGTGTGACTTGCAGGATGTTCTGCTTATTTTAAGCTAAACATATTTTATTGGTTCCAATTTGCCATCTAAAGATTACCATATTTCAACTGATTAGCATTTCCAATGGACGAAACTTCTCCACAAATAAGGGTGTGACAGAAACAGATTCTGCAACAGAAATGGTACCTCACTTATTGCCATAATTTTTTTTCGCAGTAGAAAAAGCCTTTTTAAAAATAGCAAAAAGGTTTTAGTTTCTTGAGCGTTCACATAAAAGAGAACCTGCTCGCCATAGCTTTAGAAACAGCTCAAGATATTGTTTACAGAAAATCCATCCAAACTGTCATCCTAGCCCTCTGGGAGGCTGATGCCTGAGGACTGCCACGTTGGAGCTCAGCTTGGCAATTGAATGATTTAGTGAGACCCTGTCTCAAATAAATAAATAAATACATATTTTTTAAAAAATCTACTTTTAAATTTGACTGCTTTCCTTTGTCTTCTGTTAAAGCAACTGTCGGTGACCTATCTTATCCCAAGCCCTGGCACTGTTCTGCCCAACACCCCGGGCGTCGTCCTGAGAGAAAGGACACCCACAACCTGTTCTGTGCTCTTAGGCGACGTCTTTGCATTTCACATTCTAGTTTGCATGTCCTTTAAAAGCAACTGCAGGGTTTTTATCAAAGGGCTCAAACTTACTTTCATAGTAGGAACTCTCGTAGGCACAATGATCCTACAGTGGCCCCTGTCCCAGGGACATCTCAGGCCACAGACTGCCGAATTGTCACAGCAGCCCTGGAACGCCCAAGGACCAGGGGGAGGAGAGCAAGGCCCCGCCCACGCCCCGCCCGCGCCCCGCCCCTCCCCGGCCTAGTGCAGGCCTCTTAGCCCCGCCCACCCCCGCCCCTCTAAGCCAACCCTCCCGCGCATCCTGGCTCCGCCCCTCCCGCACTAGACCCCGCCTAAGGCCCCGCCCCCTCGTCCCTGCTGCGCGTAGTTTCCGGCTGACCCGGAAGTGCGTCCCGCGGAGTGATGGGTGTAGCGCCGAGCGTGAGTTTCCCTCTGTCCCGGCTGTCTGCGCTCCGCTGTCCCCAGCGTCTCTCTGTCCGGATCTGGGTCTCTAGGGACGTTCGACGCCCCGCTCCGCCCCCTGTACCTCGGCATGGTGTGCGGCGCTGTGGGAGCCCGAGGCCCGTCCCGCCTGGGCCGCTGCGCCCTCCTCACCCGCGATCCTCCCCGGCTGGGCGCCGTCCTCTCCGGGAGGGGACCCGGCCTCGCCCCGCACCTCCCCTCCTGGCGCCGGCTCCCCCCAGTCCTCCCCTCGCAGTGACCTGGACTGTCCTCAGATGCAGGGTTCATGCGTCCCTGATTCCACCCTGAGGGATTATGTGCTCCTTCTGAGGCGGCTTCCCGCCCATCCCTTGCCTGTGAGAAAAGGATAAAAGGAAGAGAAGAAATAGACCCATAAACGGATGGCAAAGCAGAGGGTGGCCGAGGGGTGGCCGAAATGGCGAGAGTGACAGAAGCAGTTAAGATGGTAATGGTAGATAAAGCAAATAGAGATATTTAAAAATCCGTCTCAAAAGAAATGAAGGATAGTGAAGTAGGGAGAGAGGCTGGAAAGGGAAGGCATCTAGGGGAGCAGGAGGAGAGGAGGGATGATTTGCACTCGGCAGGCAGCAGTGCGGTGTTGGGACGAGAGGAGAAGGCGGCAGGTGACAAGGGAAGCCAAGGAAGGAAGCCAGGGGCTGTGGGGTCCAGAGAGCCGGGCCAGAGGCCTGCCCCAGGAAGAGAGAGGAAGAGCATCCATTGCTGAAAAAAGAGGCAGAAATCGGGTGAAGATGGGGGACAGAGACTGAGGTGAAAAGAGGCCTCAGAGGCGAAACAGGTTACACGAATGAGGCAGCATAGGTGGAGGAGAAGGAACTGCAGGAAGAGATCAGTGGAGAGAGGGAAACAGTGAGCAGCATTGGTGGTGGAGGGGAGAAAAGGAAAGCCGAGCTGGAGAGAGGTTAGGACGAGATGGTACAGAGTGATGGAGGAAAACAGGAAGGGAGAGGAGGGAGGAAGCATGGGCTCTGGGTCCAGATCCGTGGTAGTCACCTGGATGTCCATCCTTGAGTTGTGACGTATTGATTTCTGTATTTGTACTCCAGTAGATATAAAATTTGTTTCAATCATACAGACGAGGGTGAGGCTTGTGATTCTGCCTATAAGACATTCATACTGTGCAACCTTGGGAACAGGAGGACTGTTTTCCCTTCATAGTCACTGGTCAGTATGAAAGTGGTGATCTGACTCGTTTCACCTGTGGGTTGCCCCATTTTCCTGGGGTGGAGTGTGATTTGGGGTGTGTGTGACATAAAGGAAACCCGAGCGGCTTTCCTACTCATACTTGATAGTGAACGGGGCATAGAGTACTTCAATTCTGGTCCAGAAATTGCTGACTGGGGAGACACTTTTCCTTGAGACACCAACGAGGCGTTCTGTAAGTTAATTCAGATCTGGTGGTCCCTCCCGGAGCGAGCATCTAATCCCGCAGGGTGAGGCTGCAAGACCCCCACTGTCCCCACACAGATGCCAGTTTTTATAGTATCAAGTTGGGACCTAAACTGCTGTCCTAAAATCCATAAATCAGGAATTCTTCTGACTCACTGCTCAGGTTAGTTTGTCAAATTGACTCACAACATTCAGGAAACCACGGCTAAGGGTCTAAGGGTTACGCTTTGTTAAAAGGATGTAGATGGATAGGCACATAAACTCTAATCTTCAGCTTCGAAGTTTCGGTGACTTTGTACTTCCTGGGGCTTAGCTAAGTATCTCTGCCTATATTTGTTTAAGTCACTTAATTGTTGCATTTTGTTATGTGGTGCTGGGAATTCAACCCATTACCTCATGCATACTGGGCAAATGCTTTTGTCACTGAATTACTTGCATAGCCCTCTGCCTGTACTATTTATAGTATCGAAGATGAAGCTAAAAGATTATGTTTCATTTAGAAAATAAAGGGAAATTGCATATTTACTTAAAACAGGCAAGGGAGTTTGTTTTAAAATTCCTTTGAGGTGTAGGAGAAAACAGTTGGGGCCCAATTTGGTCCATTTGTTCTATCCTTGTCTTTATCACCAGCCATATCCTCCAGCCATGCAGGCTCCCTGCCTTTGCCTGGGGACACTGTAGCTCCTGGCTCAGGACCTTTCCTTGGTTCTGTCTCTGCTTAGGACTCACTGGCCTACCAGCTGCCGGTGGCAGACACCTTCCTTTCCAGGTCTGCGATCTGATATCTCTCCATGGAGACTTCTTTGACCTCCACTTTCTACTGACATGCTAACCACACCCTAATCCCTCCACTGGTCGCAGTGATCTACAAGTTTCTTTTTTTAGGGTGTGTGTGTGTGTGTGTGTGTGTGCGCGCGTGCGCATGTAGGGCCTCATTATGCAGCTCAGATTTGTAGTGATCCTCCTGATTTCTGCCTCCCTTGTGCTGAGATTACAGGTATGCGCCACCACACCTGGACTCCATTGCCAGCTCAGCGTGCCCGGGGGCAGAGCTGGCGTGGAATGTGGTGCCAGGAATCAAACCCTGGCCCCTGCGCTCACCTAAGCAAGCGCTTAGTCTGCTGAGCTATATCGCCTGCCCTTGCAGGTTTCTTTCTCTTGCTTCCCAGTCCACTGTCTGGATCTCTGGACAACAAGACTCCAAAGGGAGAACAGAGCCAGAAGATGGGAGGGCAGCTGGGCTTGCGCGCCCTGCTGGTGCTCAGGCCTGGTTTCCCATCGTAGTGCTCAGGTGTTACGCAAATAAGTCTCCTGTGGCTCCTCAGCAGAGAGTCCCTTTTCCGTGGTCAGCCTGGGGCCCAGCCTTGATAATATTAAAGTTGATTCTATTCTGTGCTCAGCACGGGGCACCCAGACTGTCCTGTGTTTCTTTGGTCCAAGCTCAGCTTGTGATCCATACAGGAATGAGGTGGGTGTGCTATGCTCAAGTTTGGATAGGCCTGGGTGTGTTCTCTGGCAAAGCCTCAGGAAGGGAGTGAGCTCTAAGTGTCAAGAAGTCTCCTGTCAGTCTTGAAGGAGTCTGTGTCTCTGCATATATGGTCCCCAGTCCCCCCCTCTCCCTCCTGCCCCTCCCTGAGTGGTGGGTAGCAGAGGATCGTCTTTCCTCATGGCTGGTCCTGGTCCTGGTCCTCCCTGTGTGTGTGCCTGTGGCACAGGAAGAGCGTGTGTCTGTCCTAAGCATTAACCAGCGTGTTTTCAACATTCAGGTTTTGACTCCCAAAAACTCATGTTACCTGCGGAAGGAGCCTGGAAGAGGAGGAAGTGGGAAGAAAAGGAGTCAGGAATGGCTCTTGCTCGGGTAACCTGCTGTTGTCAGTTGCCTGTCCTGCATCTCCCTCTTTCCTGAAGTGCTGTGCATGGGTGCTGCAACCTCTGAGTCTGTCATCTGATGTGTCTTCTCTGTCTCACCAGGGCTCCCTGCCCGCAGGTCCCCTCTTATGCACTGAGATTCACTGTGACCAGTGACCCGGATTGTGTGAGGAGGCTGCACTAATGGTTCTGGGAAGGGCTTCCCCAAGGCAGGCTTTAGAGACAGTTGTGGGACCCACGTGTCAGTGTTATGGGCAGCAGGATTATTCAGGGGACATCTCCATGTAGGTGTGAAGTCACTTATTAATATGAACAAATATCTCCTAAGTTCAAGAAAAGGAGACCCATGGGAGAAATGTGTTCTGCCCAACACTATACTATACTGCATTTGTACATAAGTGAGTCGGTATTTCCAAGTAAAGTCTCAGTGATTGGAAATGGAATAGTTAGATACAGTGACAAGGAATGTTTTATTCTGCCAGTTTTAATTATGAAACCACCTCAGTGTCTAGCTGCCAGACATTCTTTAAACTGTTTTACCACTTCTATCCCTAGAGACAGTGGTGTTCTTGCAGAGACACTTAAGCAGTAGAGGGAGGGGGAAAATGATCTCATTTTCACTCAGACCTCATAACAGAACTTCTTTGGCATTGGAGGGGATAGAACCATTTTTTCATTCCAGCAGTTACTATTAAATGTTCAACAAGATGTTTAGCAGCACATGATGTATACATTTGTGTTACAGTAAAGTCACAGACAGTCACCAGTCTTGGGCACTAAGACGTAAAACCTGTTCTTGCCCTGTCTTCTCCCTGTGTCACATATGGTCAGGAGCCCACTGTTGTCACTTATGTGGTCCGTGGCAGGATTCTCTTCATGTGCGGGACAGATTTGAGAGGAGGTGTTTTGTTGTGATACTTTGTCTCTAGGTTTTGGAAAGTCATGTTTTCCTGTTAGAGAACAAAGCTAGCTTACTCTTTCACGTTCTTGTTATGTGTTCTGGGCATATGTTTCTTACTTTTTCACTTTTACAAAGAATGCCACAGTGGCGGCCTTTGAACTCAGCAGCTTCTTTGTAGATGTCTGTCAGTTCCCCTTGCTTGGTTAGTGGAAAGGGCAGTTTCTTCTAGGATAATTTCCTGTTTTCATTAGTTCTGTAAAGATCAGTCTTTCATTAGTCCTATAAAAGTCAGTCTTTACCTCTACCAGCATAGAAACTCTCTCCCACTGATAATGTTTGCCAGCAGTATTATGGCTAGTATCCCTGTGTCTGACAATCTAGAGGAAAACTAAATTGTTTGGACTTACAAATGCCAATTCTTTGTGATTCTGAGTAGGTTTCATGGCTTTGTGGATATGTGTATAAAAAGAGGATTTTTATATGTTGCCCAATTTTATTTTCAGTGTGGTTTAGGAACTATTTATAACCTGTAGCTTACCTACTTATATATACCCCATTGTGCGCCCCCCACCCCTTTGGCAACACTGGGGATTGAACCCCAGGCCTCCATACTAAGTGACACCCCTTGTCCTTTTTCTGAATTTTGAGACAGGGTCTCACCAAGTCACTGAGTTGCTTAGGCTGGAATCAGAACTGGAATCCTGCCTTAGCTTCCCAGAATGCTGGGATTATAGTGGTGGGCTGCCATGTCTATTTCGCATCTCATGTTTTTTATGTTATACTTTCTTTTTAACCTCAGTACTAGGTATTGAATCTAGGCTATTACACTAACCTGTATCCTTCTCAGTGTTTATATTTCTTAATCTTGGAGTGGGTGGTCTGAGTTGCCTAGGCATTCCTCTAACTTGTGACCATCCTGTCTCAGCCTCCCAAGTAGCTGGAATTAAAGGAATGTTACAGTGTGCCCAGATGTTAGCTTGTTCCTTCATGTGGAGCTTCCCTTGGTACAAGATTGTATAATACTATGTTTCTTGTAGATTTCGTGTTTTACCTTTTATTTTTTAATTTTTAAATTTAATTTCCTTTTTTTTTTTTTGAGTCAGGTTCTTAATAAATTGTTGAATGTCCAGGCTGAGCTTAAACTTTTGATCCTTCTGCTTCAGCTTCGCAAAGCATGGGGATTGCAGGTGTGCACCACCACACGTTGCTGTATCTAATGTTTTATTATTTATCATTTGTTTAGATCCCCTTTATTTGCATATTTGTACACATGCTTTTAGTTCATTTTAGTTATTTAATTTGATGTCATTTTACCTTTTTTTGCAGTGCTGGCTAGAGATCAAACTCAGGGCCTCATGTGCAGTAGGCAAGCACTGCACCATTGAGCTACATCCCAGCCCCCTGGTTTATGGTAAAAGCTGAAGATAATGTGTATCATAAGAGGTTTATATGTATTTTGTACAATCACTCTAGTTTTTGTTTTCAATTTTTTTTTTCTTTTAAATTTTTTCATTGAGTGGAATTCTGTACTATAGTTTTCCAGCTGGATGTAGTTCAATTGGTCCGATTTTGCTTTTCTAATAGTACTTTTGGGTCATATACATCAGCCCATCACCACCTCAGCTGTCCTGGAATTTCCTTTTTTCTGTAGTTTGCGTGTTTGGACATAGGCAAGGAATTTTGGCTGGCACATTTTCTGAACTGGTAGACATAGTGAGGTACTTTGTAATCTCCCCATGTCAGTGTTGGGTATTGCAGTGACTGACTGTTCACTTGGTCTTCCTTTATCCTGTAGAATTGAGTCCTACCTATTGTGGTGTACACTCCTATGAATATACTGTCAATTACAGTTTGCTAGTATTGTTTTGAAGGATTTTTTAATATTTATCTTTGATTTCTTTCCCGGTGTTGGTATCAGATCAATGATGGTCTCAGAATGATTTTTTTCTTAAGTGTAGTGCTTTGAACCTGTTCTTCAAGAAGTCTGCACTGAGTTCCATTCCTCAGCCCGTTTTAAAGTGTTTGTGATAAATGAACTAGGTGGTGTCGAACTTAACTTGCCATTATTCTGCCTTAGCCTGCCGAGTGCTGAGATTACAGGTGGTGGCAGTATGCCTGGTTTCGAATGTTTTCAGAGTTCCCATTACTTCAGTTTACTGGAAGACTTTGAGGCGAATTGGTGTTAATCTTAACTTAAATGTAGGGCAAAATGAAATGCTAAAGCCATCTGTCCTTGTGTCTTTGTCGGTAAGTTATTGGTTATTGATTCATTTCCCTTGCTACTTAAGTATGTGTGTTCAGATTTTTTTTTAAATTTATTTATTTATTTGTGTGTGTGTGTGGCCTGCTCAGCCCACCAGGGGGCGGGCTGGCTGGCATGTGGTGCTGGGGGATTGAACCGCGGTCCCTGTGCTTTGCTAGGCTTGTTCTAAGTAGGTGCTTTAGACCACTGAGCCATCTCACCAGCCCCCAAATATGATGGCTTTATTTTATTTTTATTTATTTATTTTTTTTTTTTTGGTGGAACCGGGGATTGAACTCAGGACCTTGCGCTTGCCAGGGAAGTGCTTATTCCACTGAGCCATCTCCCCGGCCCAATGGAATAAGGTTTTTGTTTTGTTTTGTTTTGTTTTGTTTTGTTTTGTTTTGTTTTTTTGATCTGAATGCCCTCAGGGGTGGTTTGACTAGCTGGAGTGTTGTGGGGATCGAACTACAGCAACCTGAGGCTGATAGCTTTGTGGAAACAGCCACTTAAACAACTGAGCTAAGGCCAGGCCCCCCGTGTTCAGATTTTTAAAAGATCTCCCTGATTTCATCAAGAGAGTTTATATATTGCTAGTGATTTATCCTTTTCTTCTGGGTTATGTTTTGTTCATTGACCTACTACGTACATGATTATTGTTATTCTTTTTTCTTTTATGACATGAATTAAAATATACTCATATTGAAAGTCATTTTCAAAGTTATTCTAAGAATTTGCCATTTTTGTTGGTATTTGTAAAAAAGTGTACTTAGATTCTGTGCCCCTATTTATTTCTGCTGTAATATTCATTTTTTTTTTTTCCAGTTTTTGTCCTGTACTTTTTCACTGGAATGCAAAGTTAGGTTGTGGACTGAGTTCATTTTTATTTTTTAACCAGAGACTTTCCTAGTGTACATTTTCCCTTTACTGCTTTGATTGCCTCCATGAACTTTGGTGTGCTGTGTTTTCTTTTCTCTTTATCTTTAGATGTTTTCTAAGTTCTCTTTGTCTTCTGTGACTCATTATGAATGAGTTCAGTCCAACATACTTGTAAATTTTGATTTCTCTTCTACTACTTATTTCTAAATTTATTCCATTCTGAACAGAGAAGAAAATTTGAATGATGTCAAAGTATTTTAAGCTTTTTGTGACCTAACCTCTTATTTGTTGTATAGATGTTCCTGTGTGTTTTAGAGGCAGTGGTTTATGCAGCTGTTGGGTAGAATGTTTTGTCCAGGTCTGCAAGGTGCACATGCTCTGTGGTGGTGTTGAAGCCCCTGTTTATTTCTTCATCCTCTGTCTGGTTATACTGTCCATAAGTTGTATGGCGTATGAAATATTCCTGAAGTATTGTGCTGCTGTCTAATTATGTCAGTGTTTGCTTCATACATGGGAGAGGACTTATACTGGGTTTGTGTTTGTAATTATTGTATCTCTTGGGGAACTGTCCCTGTAGTAGTTATTTAAAGTCCTCTTTTATCCCTTGTGGTAGAAAACATTTATCTTAAGGGCTGTATTTAAAAAATAGTAGTAGCCGCCTGCACTCTGTAGGTTTCCGTTTGCATGGCATATCTTTCAGCTTTTCACTTCTAGCCTGTGTGGGTCTTCAGAACTAAACAAAATGTCTTTATTATAACATAGTTGTATCGTATGTTTCTCCCTTCAGCCAGTCCTTTTCTTTGAAATAAGGTGTTTATTTATATATATTTAGTCATAGAAAAAGACTTACTGTTGTTACTTTTTTATCCGTAGTCTATCCTGTAGCCTTTTGTCCCTCTTTACATTTTTGCTGTCTTCTTGTGTTTCCTTGGTTTTTTGAAGTGACTACTTTTGTCTTGTCTTTTTC